CAACAGTGTAGTAAGCAACACTGAGGGCTCCAGTAATCGACAAAATTTTGCGTTTACAGACTGCGTTTAAGTATACGTTCTGCGTTCTCGACTAATTTCAGCTAGAGGCAGAATGTTCGAAGAATGACGTATGCTGAAATTAGTCGAGAACGCAGAACGTATACTTAAACGCAGTCTGTATACGCAGAATTTTGTCGATTACTGGAGCCCTCAGTGTTGCTTACTACACTGTTGCCACTCTTCAATGCCTTTTCATAAACTTACCCTTTCAACCACAATTTTTCGTGCTATAATAGATTGTAACTAAATATAAACTACTTAGTTTTCAACAAAAACCTTATTTAATAGTAAATTTCAAATATTTTAAACATATTTCGAATAGGAACTTATAACTTTTTTAACATCTGCAAAACTGACGAAGTGGCAACCATCTAAAGAAGGAGAAATCAGCTGACACGGAAAAATCTAAATTCCGCAGATTTCTGCGCTACGGGCTACAACTACAGAAAAATTCTGCGGTGTTGAGTTTTCTTTTACATGGCGCTTTGGTAAGACAGATCGTGTCAGCTGACTCGGGTTTACGTACCGGTAGGTTTACGTTCTTGACTAATTTCAGCTGTAGAATGTTCCGCAAAGAGAAACGTCAAGTTGGATGAACACTGCGAACAGCGAGAGTAAGAGAATGACATGAACCAAAAATGTGTCTTTCGTTCATGAGAGAATGAGCGATAAACTTCAGAATGTTCTAGAGTTGCCATAAGTGCCAGCGCAGGTATATAAGGTCGCCGCCACCGCAAGGTGAGTGAGTTACAAGACAGCAAGCTACAAGTAAAGTGAGCAGAGAAGTGAGTTGCGAATAAACAAGATATAAGTTTAATTGCGTTATCAAGTTTAGTTAAGTGCTGTTATTGCTTTAACAAGTATTGTAAAGTGTTTTTACTGTATTAGCGAGTATTGTAAATTGTTTGTTGTTCAATAAAGTTAATTGTACTACAATTTGGTCATCGATCTCATTTACGGACGAGGTTTCAAGGATAATCGTAACAATTGGTGTCAGAAGTGGGATTGTTAAATAAATCCCGAAGGAGAAACTACTAAAAATGGCGAAAATTCAGGACTTAAAAATTGAGGAGCTGAAACAGGAGTTGGAAAAGCGTAATTTGGCCACCTCCGGAAGAAAAGTGGAATTGTTATCCCGGTTGCGAGAGGCTATGGAAGCTGAAGGCATCGACGTGGGCAAATACGACTTCCAAGGTAAACCCGACGATACATCCGCAAAGGACGAACAGAAGGATGAGGCTGCATGTTCGTCGAAGGATGTGCAACAGACATCCGGGAAGGCTGAAGAACAGCAAAAGGCTCCTTCGTCATCAACAGTTATGGACATGAACACGTTATTGGCTGCCATGTCACAGATGTCATCACAGCTGTCATCCCAGATGCAAACGCTGGAGACACGTATATCTTCAGAGGTATCAGCGCAGGTGTCATCCCGGCTAGAAACTCAGCTACTGGCACAAGAGACACGTATATCATCCCAGCTGGAAGCACAGGATGCAAAAATTACACAAATACAGGACAAAATCGAAGAGAGACAGGAGAAAGTCGAGACAAAGGTAGAGGAGTTGGAAGGTCGTCTTCGTGATTTACAGTTGAATCGTCCAGCTAGTTCGACGAGCGCACCCAAGGTAAAACCCCATCCTTTGACGGCACGATTCCTTTCCAAGTCTTTAAGCTCCAGTTCGAAAAAACGGCTGCAGCAAATCATTGGAGCATGGAGGATAAATCCGCTGCACTATTCGTTGCATTGAAAGGACCTGCGGCAGAAATCTTGCAGACTATTCCCGACTGTGAAAGGAACAGTTACGATGCGTTAATGGGTGCAGTGGAAAGACGTTATGGTAGCGAGCACCGGAGACAGATTTACCAGATGGAACTGGAGAATCGCTGCCAGAAATCCAACGAGACTTTACAGGAATTCGCCTCCGAGGTTGAAAGGTTGGCTCATTTGGCAATTGGAGATGCATCTGGTGAGCACCTCGAAAGAGTAAAAATCCAGAGGTTAATCAACGGAATGCGGGACGTGTATACCAAGCGAGAGACGTACGCGAATCCCAAGCCAACATTTGCTGAAACTGTCTCGTATGCTCACACGCGTGAAACGGCGGCGCTCCTAAGTAGACCAGCCTACAAAGCACATCGCGGGGAAGTGGAGACACCGGACGAGACAAAGGAAATGCTGAAGAAGCTAATCCAACTGCTGGGTGAGAAAAAGCATGGCTCTGGCAAATGTTTTAAATGTGGAAAGCCAGGCCACTTCGCCCGCGATTGCAGCGCAAGCTCCAGTGCGCTCAACAATTCAGCAGGACGCAAACGCAGGACTGAAGGAGACGAATCCAACTCCAATCAGTCGTTAAACTAAAACGAGCCAGCAGCAAGGGGCGCGCGCTGGCTCCCGCAATTGAATGCCCCATAATCTCCGTCTCGCGAATTGGCAGAAAGGCGAGCAACGTTACTGTTGGTGGATATGTGGACGGACATGAGCGAGT